CTTAAAACAAAAGGTATCAAATTACAAACACATATTTTCACAAGTCAAAAAAAACTACGTTGCTCTGTGCTTCTTTTTCCTTCTCACACACAATCACCAGCAGCTGCCGTCGGCTATAACCTCTCGTAATCACAAACAGCTGCGGTCGTCTATTGCCGTCAATTTCCACACGGCTGGTTCAATATAATGATATAACACTATCAACAAAGATTATAATATTACAAATATACAAATTATACATTTGAACATATCGTCAACCTTCTTAACTAATGGCCTAAGTCATATTTTGGAGAAAATGTTTTTTGCGCTAAATCATATCTCTGAGACACACACACCACAACACACACACACACACACACACACACACGCCCGGGTGACCGGACATCTCCTTCATAAAAGCGAATAATAAGGTGTAATAATCGGGCAGTTCGATGTCCTTAGAGGTGTGTTGTGTTGTGTTGTGTGTGTATGTGTGTGTGGTGTGTGTTGTGTGTGTGTGCGTGTAGAGGTGTGTGTGGTTTAAAACAAAAGCAGCCTGCAGTCGCTCTTTAGCTGTTCTAATGAGGTAAAACGTGAAGGCACAGCTCCACTTCCTACTTGGGCGAACCGTAACTTTCTCGTGCACACAGGAGCGTATCTTCTGCGCACAAGAAAAGTATATCCGTGATTCCGCAAAACCGTTTTTTGTCCGTTTCCAAAAACATGTTTAACGACCATAAACACACTCGTAACCGTCCATAGGTACGCCTAAAAAAATATTGTAGGGCCATACCTATATAGAACATGCGGTGAAGTTTTTGTTTTCAAATACCAAACAGATCATGCATTTTAACAACCATGCTCATTTTGCTCCATTCGCCTCTTTTCCAGCCCTGTTTTTGCAAGGGCTGATTCTGTGAGAAGTCTTCTTCGCTGCTTTTGCGGCAGACTACAGCGTCACTTACAGGCCTGGAATATGTACTACAGCGTCTCCAGCGCTTTCGAGCGGTCTCTCATTCCCCTGATAGGTGGAGAGTTGCCCATATAGACAGAGCACCCCTTTTCTGACGTCAGAAAAATTCAAATCTGTATCAAATCCGTTGCAGCTCCGTTTTTAGAGATTTGGGTATTGAGGAAAAGAGAGAGGGTTGTGTTTTCTGACACTTGGTGAGTTCCCTGGCACACCGGGGACACATATTCATGTATAAAAGACGTACAAAAGTGCATTTTGCATGATAGGTCCCCTTTAAGTTTGTGTCAATCACTTGCACGTCAAGTGTTTTAGAAAATGTAAATTTGTTTTTCTAAAATGTAATTTCTTTTTGAAAATGTAAATGTCTCTCAAGCTTTGTTAAAGTGTTTCACACTTTGTAATTGTTGTTTGCACTTCTCAGCCACCGTATATAATGGTGTCTTTACAGGTCTCACTAACAAATCTATTAGAAAGCTGCAGCTAATTCAGAACGCGCTGCTTGAGTCCTCACTGACCCTAAGAAAGTGGATCACATCACTCCTGTTCTGAAGTCTTTACACTGGCTTCCTGTGTGTTAAAGAATCAATTAAAAAATACTGCTGCTGGTTTATAAAGCACTGAATGGTTTAGGCCCAAAATACATTTCTGATCTCCTGCTAAATTATGAACCATCCAGAACTCTCAGGTCATCAGGGATTGGTCTGCTTTCTGTCCCCAGAGTCATAACATGGAGAAGCAGCGTTCAGTTATTATGCTATTTTAAAATGTGTTTCTGCTGCACTATTTTAATGTCTTTCATTCTTTGTAAAGCACTTTGAATTGCCTTGTGTTGAAAGGTGCGATATAAATAAACTTACATTGCCTCATCATCAGCTTAATAACATCTTGCTTGGTTTTACAGCCCGACTTAACTGTGGCAAGAAAAAAGAATGCTACTTTAAAAAGGTTAATAAACCAGTAAACAATTTAAGTTATTTCTCTTGGACATAACAAAGAATGGAAAGATGCAGGCGACACACTGAAGTATGTTTAATAGAATACCGATTTATTGAACAAAACATTTTGTATGAGATGACACAAGTGCTGTTTAGCAAGTGAAAGTGCTGTCAATTGTAGTTTCCTCCTTCATTTGGCAAAGTACACATATTCATCCTGTTCCTTCATGATTTCTCAGACGAGGGCTGCAGTTACCCATGCAACGGTTGCTCCGACGCCAGCCGCACCTGCAGAGGCAACTGCTGGCAGACCGGCTGCACCTACAGCAAGGATCAAAGGTTTAATATCAACTATGCAGACATTACCATATTATCATTAGTTTAACCAAAAGATTAAAATGCAAAACATAAAAGTGATGATCTTTACCTGCTGCCTGCAAAACAGCCACTGTAGTTCCGGCTGCCACTGCTCCCCCGTTAGCCACTGCCGCTGCTGACATCATGCCGGCAGCATAGGAACCTGCAACGATCCCGGCGGAGGTGAACCCTACAGCGGCCAGAACAACAGGAGCAGCGACGACAGCTCCAGCTGCAGAGGAAACGTTGTTAACGTCGTTAATTTGTTTGGCGACTCCAAAATGAATAGTGAGTCAGAAATAGTAATCATTCCCAAATTGGACTCAATAAAGAGTATCTAATCTAAAGTGTGTTTACAATCAGATGTAAAAGTCTTACCTGCTCCAGCACCAGCTAAAGCAAAAGTTACTGAAACACAAGACGAATATCGAAATCAACATTAACATCGGGCTTAATCAATACCTTTGCTAAAGTAACTATCATTATTCTTTTTTGTAGTTAAAAATAGAATGTAGCCTACGAAGTAAAAATTCGATGAAATTTAAAGTGATACTCACACAGCCCCATGATTTGATTGTAGTGTATAAGAGTTGATGACCGGGTTTATATAGCCTGCCTAGCTTTCATTTCCTGAAAAAGGAAACTCTGCTGTATAGGCTTAGATTTCTCTTCTTGAAACATAAGCCTTGTACAGCAGAGGGCGTCAAACATTCCTTGTCGTTAATGAATCAAATACAATTTATTCTGACTGTAGAGCACCAGGAGGAAAACAAAAGAAAGGAACTGTTGAGGATTTCTAACCCAGTTTAGGTCTGCCTGCTTTTGGGAAACACATTTCTTCACTGTTTATTTACATACCAAGAGTTTAATGCAATCAAAAAAGGAATCTAATTACATTTTATATTTAAGTCGAGGCACACTAAATACACCATTCTTTATGTGACCATCGCCTGATTTTTATTATGAACGACAATAAGCAATAACGACAATAATTAACTTTGATGTGACACTATCCTCTCACCAGTGGAGGGCTCTGTTTACTAGTGATGGGACGAGCAACACTGGTGCGTCAGCACTGTGCCGAGAGCCCAAGAGTGAAACCCCGTATTGGTGCGTGTATTGCTTTAAGAACTAATCACGTGACCGATACAGGAAGTGTATCGGTTGAATTTGTTGCGCCAAAGTGTGTTTATAAGGTATCAAACTGCATCAACATGTCGTGGGTTTGTTGGATGGAGTTTTGCTGTTGCGTTATAATGGATCGTTCAAGGAAGTTTTCCCCAGTGTGGAATAATTTTGATCTTCTGACGCCAAACAAGGTAAATCTTTTTCTCCTTTGAGCACTGTTTACTGTTAGTTTTTCCATTATATACCATATGTTTTTTGGGTGGCGCATTGCATTCACTTTGTCGTCACAACGTCACCTGTGATACATATGATAGTCAGTGAAATAGCCTTACAGTTGCTTTATTCATATTATCTTGTTATTACGAGATCCTGATAGATACCCTATGTCATTGTCATTTTTCTTTGACAAGTGAATGCAGTGCGCCACCTTAGTTTTTACTCTGTTCTGGTAAGTGGTTTGAATAGTTTTCTGATAAATTACATTTTTATGTCATTGTAGGTGAAGTGTCGGCTCTGTTCTACGGAGCTATCTTACATCAATAAGAGCACTTCATCAATGCTGAGGCATTATAGAGCTCGGCATGGTGGCGATGAAGAATCAGCAGATACCCGTGAGAATACCCCAGGTATGTTGACATGTTCTCCTTATTAACTTTACAGCCCTGGTGGTCTAGTGGGTAAGATTCAGAGCTCACTCCCCAGTGACCTCGGTTCAATTCCCGATCAGGGAAGTTTTCCTCTATTGCATTTCTCTGCTAGATTAACATTGTTTGTAAAAAAAAAATAATACAGACCTTAAATAAGCTTTTAACGAAATATTTCCTTTTGGCTTGCAGTTCCTAAGCAAGCAGTGGATGAGGCAGTGGTCAACATGATCATCAAAGACTGTCAGCCACTCAGCTTGGTTGAAAATGAGGGATTCAGGGAGCTCTTGAAGCTCATCATACCCTCGTATGTTCTACCAAGCAGGAAGGTATGTTTAAGAAAGGTTATTATTATGTTTTTGTACTATATAACTATATTTTGGTATAAGAATATTTGTATGGTTATTTTCAGACCATCAAGGATTTGGTGAGCCAGAGGTATGAGAAGGAAAAGGAGAAAACAAAAAAGGACCTCCAGAGCGCCGTTGCTGTTAGTTTAACAGCTGATATGTGGACTCCATGAATATGGAGGCATATCTAGCGGTTACTTGCCACTATGTGGACAAAGAAAGCCATGAACTCCATACGTCAGTCTTGGGAGTGCAGCATTTTCCTGAAAAACACACTGCTGAAAACATGGCCACAGTTAAAAAGAGCCTCATGGAGGAGTGGGGCATAGCTGCAAAGGTCAGGTGTCTTGTCACTGATGCAGCAGCAAACATGATTTCATGTGCTCGGATGCTGCAAATACGCCATACCATTTGTATAGCCCATACCATGAATTTAATGGTGAGGAAATCATGTGATCAGGTCGAAACACTTACAGAAATACGCAACAAAACACGACAAATAGTGACGAACTTTCGATCGAGCACTACTGCCAAAGAGAAGCTCACTCAAATACAGCAGCAGCTGGGAACACCGGTCCATAAATTAATCAATGAGGTGCCAACAAGATGGAACAGCACCTACCACATGTTTGAAAGAATGGCTTAGCAGAAGGAGGCAGTCTGGGTGTCACTGGCCTCATTAAAAAGGGACATCACTCCACTGACTACGGAAGACTGTGAAACCATTGAAGAGATGCTCAGGGTGCTTGCTCCTTTTGACCAAGCAACAACTGAACTGTCTGAGGAAAAAAGAGTCTCTGGGTCAAAGGTTATTCCTATGCTGAAAATGGTCCACGTTGAGCTTCACCGTCAAGCGTCAACGGTGAGAAAAACAGCTGCTAAACAGCTTGCAGAAAATCTGAGAAAGCGGCTAACAGAATGCATCTCTAGCATGGAATCACTCAGTGTGATGACACTGGCAACACTTTTGGATCCTAGGTTCAAAACAATTGGATTCGTCAGCTCACTGAAGGCAACTGAAGCTGTCAAAAGACTGAAGTTGGAGTGTGCTGACCAAATGAGGAGCCAAGAGCCTGACCCAGCAGAAGAAGGGCCTAGCTCTTCACATGGATCAGAACCCAGTTCAGGTATGAAAACACATTTCTTTCTGTTTATTTGTATATTTCTGTGGCACTTTGTCATGTGATAATATACTTGTGATTATTATTATTATATTTTTTTTAGGGCACAATCT